CCCAGATGAGGGGTCACTCAGCAGCTGTGGAGCAGAAGCCAGGGGGCTTCCTGGCATTCCTTTTCACCTTAATATGAAACGCGTCATATTTTCTCTAAATGTCTGACCCAGATAGACTGCAGTTCATAACTTCTTACCTGAAGTTCAGTTCACCTGACACTCGGACCGGATGGGTGAGAGAAAAAGAAGTTAATTTGTTTTGGTGTTGTGTGCATGCGCCGCGTGTGCGCAGAAACATTGGGTAGGATGTTTTATGAGGTAGGATGGATTCCCAGAACACCCGGCCCCGCCTCGGGTGTGTTACTTAATAATGCGTTAGTCCCTACACTGGTCTCATGACATAGCAAAACAGAATGGCTTTGGGTCTCTCGTCTTGTCTCCCCTTTCTCTCATCCACCTGCTGGCCTCCACCACTTGTTAATGTTACTGAATCTGTGGAAGCTCCGCGATAGCCACCGCAAGAAGTAACAAATAATGACCCTATCTAAATCCCAGTAACGATTAACGCGTTCCTGATTTTGGCATAATAACTAGTTACCGTGCTCGTTACCACAATAATAATGTAGTTACTGTAACGCGTTACTTAATAACGCATTAGTCCCTACACTGGTCTCATGACATAGCAAAACAGAATGGCTTTGGAGATGCTATTGACAAAAAGAGGGGAAGTGTATTCAATTTTTGAGGGAACTTGTTGCACATTCATTCCAAATAACACTGCCCCTGTATGCCCCTTGTACAATCCCATGTCTGAGAACTTTAACAGGTAATAGCTCCCCAAAAATTAAGCCAAAATTTCTCTATCGCCCCCTGGTGTCTGGCTGCAGTACAGGTCACAAACCCCACCTCCTCCATTGTTAGTCGATGGGTCTGGGGTCACACTAAAATAACCAAACCTGAAAAACAACTGAACCCACACAATGTAGGTCAGGAGGAAATAATGAGGCCATTTCTCAAAGTTTAAAATTTTACTGTTTCTGTGACACAAAATAAACTTTTACAATATTTTCAGGCAAGAATGTCAATTTGTAAATTTCAAATATCTTCTCAAGTTATCAATATATTACTATTCGCTAAAATAATCTGATATTTTCGAGATGTCTGTTACCCCACGAGCTTGATAGTTCAAGACTCACTATAGCTGGTGAGAACGCCTGACTCCCTGCACACTGTTTTCAAACCCCCCGCGGGCGCATCCTTATCGTCTGATGTAAAAATGTGTTGTTCTCATTTTAACAGCTTACTCTGAATTAAATCTAACATTAAAAACATTTTAATCCAGGAGGAAGTATTTCACTGGGAGCAGACCCATATGGAAAAGATATATATAAATCTTATAAAGTTTTTATCTGTCTTGTATGAAACTTGTATGAAAAGCATACAAGAGTGAAAACACATATAAGATCCCTT